AATTTATTGTTCTCCATCTAACATTACCTTGAATCTTAAATACTCAAGGTAAAATACATCTAAAAGAAAGGAAAAGGGCCAATGGTTGAGAAAATGTTGCTGTAAGTCTTTAAACTCTTCTTTTAACCCATTTCTTTCCATGGATTTTTTAAAGAGACTCATCAGGAATATGTACCCTCCATCATCATATGGAGCTCAACTCATTTTTTTATTGTAAACAATCTTCATGTAATACAAATTACTACAAAAGATGTTATTTAAACAAACCAGGTGATATTTTTCATATTATAACAAAGACTATTTACTTATACAGTATATTTATATGGTGCTTTCTCTCCAAATAATAACAATATTTGTTAACTACAAGTACTCAGCAGATAGGACAATGCTGAGTTTCAATTCACTCACAAAGGAAAAAATAGTCCAAATAATTAAACTAACTTCCAAACTATTTTATATTTGTTACCTTGATCAGACTAGTACTAGAAAAGTAAACAGCCATCTGCAACAGCTTGTTCTAGCTCCTTGAAATAAAATCTGGGAACCATGAGTAAATATTCCAGCTAACATTGGTGATTCTTGTAAGTACATTCAACTACTATGCCCAATCACTAGATTTCAGAAATTCAGTTTTAATTCTATCGTAAAAGGAAGAAATATGACAAGGAGAGAACTTTGATGCATTTCTTTTATGTATACTTGTTTTCCAAGATCAACTACGCTAATATTCCCCTTCTGTAACTGTACTGGTTTAGTATATGGTGGTCCCCCGCTAAACTGCCCATAGTCCGAAGCAGATGATCCTCCTTCCTATGTATAGTCAGAAATAACCCAAGGCTACACCACATCGCCTATGTCATTCACCTCATTTCATCTCATCACATAAGTATTTTATCATCTCAGTCATCACAAGAAGAATAAATTCAACAAAGTAAGATATTTTGAGAGTAGAGACCACATTCTCATAACTATTATAATGCACTGTTTTAATTGTTCTATTTTGTTATTATTGTTAATCTCTTACCATGCCTAAATTATAAATTAAACTTTAATTGATTAATTAATTAATAAACTTTATCGTAGGAATGTACTCATAGAAAAAAAAAAACAGTATATATGGGTTCAGTACTATCTACGGTTTCAGGCATCCACTGGGGTGTCTTAGAATGTATCCCTTGCAGATAAGGGGGGATTACTGTTCTCCTTTCTAGGCTTACTTTCTTCTCCATTCAAAATAATGCACACAAAGTCATTCAAAAAATATGAAAAAAGCAAAAGTACTTATGGGGAAGTATGGGGGAAAACTAGAGAGCCAGCATGGGACAGTCCAAGAATCAAACATGGAAGAGGGAAATAATGGAATGTTTAACAATGTTATTAGTAAAACTTTATGATAAAGATGTAAACATCAAATTAGGTTTCATAAGTGAAGTATGCTAAAAGGAACTATCAACCAATCTAAAATACAGAGAATGATCTAACTCTATGACAATTTATTAAGTACACTAAAGTATATAAACATAAATCCTAAATAAATCTTAGCCATAATCAATTGATTATCTTGAATCCCCTTACCAATAAATGTATATAAAAATGAAAGAAGTGTTTGATTACATGAGATATGTGATTTACAGAATGGCAGAAAGTTTGGCTTACAGAAGAAAATAGTTGTTACAAGAATAAGAGATGATTGGTTTGGTTTGGTTTTTGTTTTTGTTTTTGTTTTTTTTTTGTAAAGATTTTATTTATTTATTCAAGAAAGACACCGAAAGAAGAAAGCAGAGGGAGAAGCAGGCTCCCATGGGGAGCCTGATGCAGGACTCAATCTCAGGATCCGGGATCACGACCTGAGCCAAAGGCAGACGCTCAACCACTGAGCCACCCAGGTACCTTGATTGTTATTCTTTTTTCTTTTTTCTTTTTTTAGGAGAAGAGAAACAGAGAGAATCCTAAGCAGGCTCCACACCCAGCACATAAGCCCAACTCAGGGATCGATCTCACAACCCTGAGATCATGAACTGAGCTGAAATCAAGTGTTGGATGCTTAACTGAGCCACCCAACTGCCCCTACTGTTCTTTATAATTTACACATTTTTAATAAATATTAATTCATATGTAATATATATGAAACAATATGTATTTCTGAAAATCTGAGCCAAGATTATTGATGGAAGTGGTAAAATGTACACCAGCATCCAACCCATTTTTGCTACTTTTCAAAATAAAATAGAGATAAAAGTATGAAGATGTAGGAGAAATAGATCATTTCTCCTTAATTTTCCTCGAGAAAGTAAAGATTTACTGGTGCTTTTAAAGAGATAGTATGTAGATCCCTGTGTATGTGCTGCATTATCTCTTTAAAATCACCAGTAAACCTTTATTGCACACTATGTACACACATACACACACACCAAACTACTTGAAAGTAACTTTGTATCTCTAAAGTTCCCCCCAAACCAACCTCCATTGCAAATATTTCCTTAATCACATAAAAAGTACTAATATTCCTCTACTCACAATCCCAGAGATAAATTACAAAAGTAAATCCTGTAAGAGAAATGTTCATACTATAAGTAACTATTTTTGGTATATTCGTAGGCTTAACATTTATATGTCTTACTACATACCTACTGAATTGCAACAACTCTTCCACTTGCCAGCTAAATCTGATTCTTGACTGGCCAATGCAAGTTACTGAACATCTCTGTGTTTCGGTTTCTCATCAGTAAAACGTAAATAAACAGGACATACTTCACAGGGTGTTGAAATTGATTAAAACATGAATAACAGGACTAGTACAGAGTAAGTGCTATATCAGGGTGAGCTATTACACCTAGCTATTCTACTAGTAATAGTACTCCATCTTTCCAAACATATTAAAAACATTCTGAACAATTTGAATTACTGACTAAAACTAGATATTATTAAAAGGAGACATTAAATCTGAAGCCTGATTAACAGTAAGTTTAAACCCCTGCAACTCTGAAAAGAATAGATGACTAATAGAGCCACATAACCACTCTCAAGAACAATCTGGGGAAAGTGGTTTTCCCAAGTGCAACTATCAATTTCTTCCCTTACACAAGGGGGCAGTGATAACAAGAAAAGAATGGGGCTCTGCAACACCTCTTCCTACAGACAGTAGGGGGTGGCAGTACATATGGCTTACAGTCAGAACAAAACAGGAAGACCCAACAGTACTGCTCTTTATTCTCCTCTGGCCCTCTCCTCTCTGCTTTAGCCCCAACATAGCCTCAAGGTGAGGGCCGTATCTATAGAAAACACTAAAACCCAAAATTAACCACGAAGGAAAATCCAGTTTTGTCTTTGAAGCAAATGATCCCTTAGTGGCTGAATGTGGATGCAAGAGGAAGCCAATCAGTATGAATTTTCAGATTATCTAGCAAATTACTTACTGCTATTATAAGAACAACATTCTTCAGGCAAGTAATTCAATTTCTCTACAGTAATCACAACATAAAACACCAAAATTTCAATCATTAACTATACCCTAATGAACACATTCGGATATTCCTGTTTGTTTCACAGCATGTAGACACTCATTGAACGTACATATGTAAGTTATATCACATAGCTCATTGAACTATCTTTTGTTACTTCTGAAATTCCAGCTATTTACTGACAATCCTCTCAAAACACAGATATTCTTCTTAAGTGGAAGTCACAATGTTTCACAGATGTGGATAATTTCATACGTAGAGAAAGAAACAATATTTAACGTAGAGAAAGAAACAGAGAAAGAATATTTAATATTTTATTCTTGTGCTCACATTCCTAGGATGATATACCTGGGAAACGCTGCAAGAAGTGCTCCACTGACAGTATCCATGTTGCTGCTTTTTATGCTACATTTACTGTATTCATTTTTTTTCCCTATTTTGCCACCTCAACACCAAAAACATGCAAGAATATAGCACTACTGTCATTCACTGTAATTAACCACTGCAATAGCTTTTGGCTCCAACCCCTCAAAATGCCTGAAAATTTATCCCTTTTGTTCACCATATTGTTTTGTTTTCCTCATTCCAGATATTTTCACCTGTGTGAAAATGAAGACAGGGGCACATAGGAAAAAATAAATCCCTTTGCCTAATGATCTTGAACTCAGAATTACAATCAGGATGTGGTGTGGGTTTTTTTTGTTTATTGTTTTTCTTTTCCTGGAGAGGAACAGAGAACAGAGTAGAAAGACACCCAAAATACCCAATCTTCCTAATGTTAATTATCACTGTTTATATTTTGTAAAACCCATTTTAAACATTCCACAACTGAAATAAAAGACAGGACACGATTATATCGGTGCTCTACAAGCTGACGGCAAAACCTGGAATTATTTTAGCCCTATTTTTTCTTTCCCATCTCACAACCAGACACGATATGCTTTTTTTTTTTTCTTTCACGTGGGTACCTACTATCTCCATCTCAAAAAATAGCATATCCTAGCTCCTCTCGATTTCCTGAGATAAAATATCTAGCAATGAGCCTTATTAATCTTTTTCTTACACCACATCTCCTTTCCCAGGGGGACTGTTAATATCGCTCACAACACTTCTACCATGAATTTCAATGCCACACAGGTCAACCCACCCTGCGCCTTACCTGGCACATTTCACAACTACTTTTTATGCTGCATTCTGGGGGCACATTTTGCAACTCGCTCTGCACCACATTGCCTGCCACGTTTAGCAATCTGCCTCGCATCTCACCCTGGGTCCCCGGCATCTAGAGCCTCTCTCGGTACCGAATTCCATGACACCTTCGGTGACATCGAAGTGACCGTCCCCCGCCCCATCGGAAGCCACCCTGGGTGCCACATTTGGAGCCAACCTTCCCCACACCTTGGACACCGGAGGCACTTCGCTGCCCGTTTCGCTGTTTCCCAGCTCGCCCCCGCCCCTCTCCCAGGAGCCGAGGCAGTGGAGGCGAACGCCCCTGTCACTAAGGCGACCCCTCCTTCCGCCGCTCCCTCGGTCTCTTACCTGCGGCTCTGAGGGGCTCGCTGCACCTCGGGGCCAAGCCCCAGTCCCCGGGATCCCGAGTGAGGACCGCGCCGCCCGCCGGCGCCGCCCGCGATTCCCAGAGCACCTCGCTGCGCTCCGACGCCCGCGGTGGGTCTGCGCCCCGGAAAGGCGCGGCGGGGCCTCGCGGCGGGCAAGCGCAGCCCGCGGCGGTCCTCCTGTCAGCGGCGGCGCGGGTGCAAGCTCTCGCCCCTCAGCGCGGCGGCGGCGGCGGCGGCGGCGGCGGCGGCGGCGGCGGCGGCGGCGGCGGCGGCGGCGGCGGCGGCGGCGGCTGCTGCGGCGGGCGCCTCGCTCCGCCTCGCGCGCGGCACAGCCGGGAGGTGAGCGCGAGGGGGATGGGAACGGGGGCGGGGCCGCCCAGAGGAGGCGCGGAGGGCGGCGGCGGGAGGGCAGCGCCGGCAGCCCCGAGCCCCCGCGCTCAGAGTGCTCGCACCTTCCCCCGCCCGGCGGGCGGCTAGCGCGAGGCGGCTGTGCCAGCGGGCCCCGCCGGAGCAGCGCACCCAGCAACCCGCGCCCGGCCGGCAGCTCGCTAGCGCCGCCGCCGCGCCGGGGGCGTCGCACCCTCCCAGGCCGCCCGCAGCCCCGCCCCCTCCGGGCCGGGGTGGGGAGGAGCGCGAGCGCGGAGGGAGAGCGCGTGCGTGGGGGCGCGTGCGTGGTGGAGCGCGCGCGCCCCCGCCCCCTCCACAGTCTGGGGGTGGGGAGCGGCTGGAAGAGAGAGTGAAGACCGAACCCTTCCCTGCGCCGAGAGGTCGGGCCCTGACTCTGCAGCTCTGTGAGGTCTGGGCATTTCTCGTTTCCTCAGGGGGCTCTGCCTGGTGGGGTCGAGGGCATTTGGTGGGAAAGGGGTGGAAGCTCAATAGCAGACAAGGCCCTAAATAGTTCGGCTCCGCCCCCCCGGAGGGGTGATGTCACTCTCGAGGTGCTGCTGCTGTCACGTGCGCCCACTTCTGGGCCTGTCCTCCTGCTGTTCATGGGCAAAACGTTCCCCTAGGCTTCCCCCACTTCAGTCACCTTAGGAACACATCACTCCTGGAGTCATCAAACCTTACATATGTCGATTGTTCCCTGCCTGATGCTCAATTATATTCTATAAACTGCTTCCAAAGCCACAGTTGGCTGTGGTGGGCATCAGAATGAGGCGCGCAACCATTATGGGTGGGAAGGTGGGTGGGGAGGGACGAGAGAGAAGGGAGACTAGTTCTGCAGAATAATTGCTGAAAATTCACCAACCACAGCTTGAGAGCCTGATGCCAGGTTGGACGAGAAGTAATGTGGTTTTCGGAGCCAGTGGGCAAGGCACGGAAAGCCACCACATTAAAGCCTCCTCGGAGGTCTTACTTCCCCCCATTACCCCTCCACCTAGATCTTCTTCCCGTTTTTCTTTCTCTTGTGTCATAAGTCAACTGTGGAAGATATCTGGACGTCAGTGTTTTCGTGTGCTGTAAGATGATGCAGAGCAATCACTATTACATACTCCGCCTGGCTACTCTTCCCTTCCCTAAAGTCAAACCACCTTTCATGGTGATCTGTTTCCTAATGAGATGCCATGACTGGAAATAGATGCCCCAAATTACCTCAGTCAAGGAATCTGTGTCTATGGTGTTTCTAAGATAGTTTGCTTTGTTTGCTCACAGTTCTTTGAATCTACTTCATCCAGGACTTTCTTTGGTTTAAAAAAAAATAGTATTAACTTCAGAATAATAGAAGAAATGGACTATGAAGGCATTTCAACAGCTAGTCTATAATGAATGCTTGAAAAGTTAGAGCTAGAGCAGCTTTGAACACTACAGCTAAAACAGCAAGGTAAAGGATTGATATATGGAATCTTTTGGAGATAACTCCAAAACCTTAGATTAGTCCTGCTGTAACCTCTCTATGGTGATAGTAGCATGGTAGTGATTACTTATGGGGGACTTGACAGGGCTAGTGGCATGGTAGTGATTATTTACTGCGGATTTGACAGGGAAGGAGGGAGCCTTCAGGTTGGTGGAGATGTTCACTATCTTGACCTACCTAATGATTACGAGGGCTAATATATACGCAAAAAGATTTATTCATACACACAAAGAAGCACTACAACGTCATGATTGGAGTCTGGAAACGGATTTAAATCTCAGTGTCACCCACCACTTACCAGCTATGTGACCTTAAGCAAGTCTCTGAGCCTTTTTTTCTTCATCTCTCTAATATGGTTAATGATACCTCACAGGATGGTTGTAAAAATTAAATGAGATTATCTTTGAAAAATAGCATGGAGCCTGGTATGTAGTAAGTGCTTAGGAAGCAGTAGCTATTGTTACCTTATTCTTCTGGCACTCAGATTTACCCTATTCAATTCTCCTTTGAGGTTTTTTGTTTGTTTGCTTATTTCAAAGATTACTTTGTGTCTCAACCTTTGTGAGTTTCACTGAAGCTAGTAACATTTCTTCCCACAAGAAATAAGGAAAGGCAGTCCAGGGTGTAATGTGTTAGTTTTCAAACTAGTTTAGGTGGCAGTACTTAGTACAAATAGTACAAATTATTGTGTGCATTGTAGAACACCATGAAATATTGATAGATTTGGGGCAGCCGGGGTGGCTCAGCAGTTTAGGGCTGCCTTCAGCCCAGAGCCTGAACCTGAAGACCCAGGATCTAGTCCTACATCAAGCTCCCTGCATGGAGCCTGCTTCTCCCTCTGCCTGTGTCTCTGCCTCTCTCTCTCTGTGTGTGTCTCCCATGAATAAATAAAATCTTTAGGGATCCCTGGGTGGCGCAGCGGTTTGGCGCCTGCCTTTGGCCCAGGGCACGATCCTGGAGACCCGGGATCGAATCCCACATCAGGCTCCCGGTGCATGGAGCCTGCTTCTCCCTCTGCCTATGTCTCTGCCCCCCTCTCTCTCTCTCTCTGTGACTATCATAAATAAATAAAAAAAATTAAAAAAAAAAATAAAATCTTTAAAAAATATATATTGATAGATTTAATTCTGCCATATGGACATGACAATTTTACCAGCACTAAATCTGGCTATATAATGTTTATGCAAATCTCACATATTTCAAAAACTGTATTTTTGAGAATAGGCCCGTGTTTTTCCTTTAAAATTTGTTTCCAACTTTCACAAAGTAGAAAGCACCAAAAGTTTAATAACAATTCACAAAATGAAAACCTTGAAGTCCATGTTTCCTGGAAATTAAAAAAACACTGTAATTGTTCAGTTTAGCAGCAGAGCTCGCTTTATTAGATTTTCCCACAGTAAGCTCTAATAGCTGTGACCCACAGGGTCTCTTGCTCGGATGAAGTGAGTAACTCTGACTCACTGTCCTCATCTCACTCCCAAAGATCAGTCTCCATTTCTTTTGGCTGACCTTTCCCAGATCCCATGTTCACACTGAGCAGTGCTAGTACCCACTGAATGAACTCACTGCCTTGCTGTTTTGATCATCCGGCATAATTCTATTCAGCCCATTCTCTTCCACATAATACTCCTGTTAAGTCTTGTAATTTGCTGTTATACTTAAACTTTGTGGAGGAAACCCTCTGTCCCTGACAGAGGGGTATAGTTGGGGTGGTGAACAACATTGTAGAGAGAAGTCACCCCTGTTTTCAGCTCTTCTCCCTGGTTTTCTTTTCCATCAATGATACCTAAAATCCTGAGAATGCTCATTTTTACACCTACTGAAAATCCATTCTAGTCAAAATGATCATTTAGTCTATGACTTAAATTTGGAAACATGATGTACGCCATGTAAGAGGAACATGCAAATATACATAAATTAGCCCAACCTTCCTTATACCTCCCAGCTTGTCAGTGCCATCTATACTATTCAAAATGCCCGTTTTGATGTATCAATTATGCCCACTAATACTCACCTCTGCATATGTCTTCCCTTGGCACCTCCAAGTCTCTTAAGCAAACCATTAGGCTCACATTGCCTACCCTTTTTCCTCAATTCTCCCCCTATTGAATAAAGAATAATGACATCACCATTGACTGATTGCCTACTGATTGTAAATGCTTTCCAAATGCCTTATATATACTATATTATGTTATGTTATGTTATGTTATGTTATGTTATGTTATGTTATTATGCAACATCCCACCAATATCTCAGTTTTCTAGATGGGGGGCTTTGAGTGGTTAAATGATCAGGTCAAGATCACACTGAATGGTGGGCAGAGCCACAATCTAAACCCAAACAAACTTTATCCTCTTATCAGCTACCCTCAAGATAAAGGCCTGTAAAATATAAATGAGAACAGAGAATACATCATTTGAAAAATGTGAACCATATTACACAATGAAAGTATCTCTGGAAGGTTGATGTAAAAGATGTTTCTCATTGATTGTTTTTTATAATCTCATTTCTTTTTATCTGCAATTGATAATTCCAAACTCAATAGCTTCAACATTTCCCCACTAACTCCCACCTCGGTCTTTTGATAAATATTTAATAATTTCAAGACTAACACTTTAAAGCATTTCCACATAGAGGAACTACTACTTAAAAGAAGTTTCCAGTAAATCTCTTTTTGGGAAAGTGAAAAATTCATGTACAGTATGAAGAAGCAAAACTCCATATATATTTATATTGACATTTATAAATGCTTAACAAGTATTTGTGCCTACTGATGCTTATAACTGTGGTAAGTACCACAGAGCACATTTAACTAATTTGAGAGATGTCTTGCCTACTAGAACCTTATAATGTATTTAGGAAACAAAATTCTTCAAACATTTAAATATTAATATAGAATTAAGTGTTGAGGGATCCCTGGGTGGCGCAGCGGTTTGGCGCCTGCCTTTGGCCCAGGGCGCGATCCTGGAGACCCGGGATCGAATCCCACGTCGGGCTCCCGGTGCATGGAGCCTGCTTCTCCATCTGCCTGTGTCTCTGCCTCTCTCTCCTTCTCTCTCTGTGACTGTCATAAATAAAAAAAAAAAAAAGTGTTGAAACATGAGTAAAACAGTAGGCTTTGTGATAATTCATAGAAGGGAGAGAGAGATAAGTTTGCCTGGAATGGTATGGGACTGCTACTTGAGGAAAGTAGAACAGGAAAAAATATAGATGGAAAAAAGGAAGGACTATTCCAGGGAGGGCCCTAGAGAATCAACAGAAATTTAAAGCAGGGAACAAGCTAACAATTCTCACATCAAAGAATAAATCCCTTTTGGAAGTGAGTTGCTTTGGTGTGAACT